AACACATACATATATATATATATATATATATATATATATATATATGATAAAATATTCATTTTTTAATTGATAAACTAAATTATATTTTTAAATTTTATATTTTAACTCAATGTGATAGTTTCCCGTGTATATTATATACGTTAGATGATAATATAATTTTTTTTATAATATTCTTGTATAAACTATTTACAATTTGATACCAAACTATATTCCAAAGAATGATACATAAATCTACGTACAAGAATATATCATATTTGCTAAAAGTTTAGTAGTCACAAACCATTACAAACTATAATCATGAATTATTAGTACAATATTTTCTTATGAGAAAACAACTATAATTTTTTTTAGTATAGTTGGAGATATTCTTTCATTAGAATTTAAAATTTATTTTAATAATATACGTAAATTTATATTAATAAAACTTGTATCAAATATAAATACATATTATTGAGATAAATATCTGATTCTAAATTAAGAATAACACAATCACACTTTAGAAATTGTATTTATTTATTTTCTTCATTTTTTTATACTTTAACTAATTATAATTTATAATTTAAATAAATTTTTAATTATAAAAAAAGTATAACACATATTATTCATAATAATTTATAATTAAATAATAATGTAAAACTTTTTTCATTGTCAATACATAAATATTAAATTTTTTGCAATCATTTATATAATTTTTTTTATTTATTTCTTACATTTCATATTTCTTTCTCCTTCTCCGTTAATTGTAAAATTTCTCTTTTTTATTTTACTAAGAGTAATAATATATGTATATATTTATAAGGTTTAAATATGTTTTTAGTTCCTCAAATTCAAGGTAAATCTGTTTTTGGTCCCTCAAATTTAAAATTATTGTTTTTAGTCCTTGTAATTTCAAAAAATCTTATTTTAGTCCTTATATTCAAATTTTGTTAATAAATTTATAAAAATTATTGCATAAAATCTACTTATTGATATTTCTATTAGTGAAAATATCACATTAAATTTGATTAATATTGCATAATTGTCTTAATTAGTCACTTTCAAATATGTTATTGCTGACCTAAGGAACTAAAACAAGATTTTTAAAAATTACAAGGACTAAAAATAACAGTTTTAAATTTGAGGAACTAAAAATAAATTTTTCTTAAATTTTAGGGACTAAAAACATATTTAAATCTATTTATAATTTATTTTGTATCCGTATCAATTTTGTCTTTATCTTTACTTATCATTTTGTTTATATATTATAGAAAGTTATTATTAATAATTAAAATAAATAAATATAAAAATGATGTTAAAAAATTATTCATAGAAACGTTACTTTTTTACAAATAATCGATACATATTGTTGCCATGTTTCCCAATTGATCACTGTAGTCTCATATGAGGGGAGAAGTTATTACTTATTAGAACTGAAAAATATTTTCTTTTTTAGCAACAATTTCGAAAATATTCCTTATGTTTTGGTCATCGGTCATCATTTGATTTTAACAGTTATGTTACTTTTTTCTTTGTTCTGTTGACTCTCCTACATAACATAGGAAGCTGCAACAACAACATAGTACAAAATCACCTCCAAGTCCATGCTTTTGTGCTTGCACATACAGTCACAGGAGAGGAGGTGGACAAAACAAAGCTACGATTTTTAGGGGGTTTACCACCCTCGCCTTCTGCCTAACCAAACCCACCTTTTCTGTCTTGAAGCTATTATTGGTAAATCAGTTTAAATTTTTGTGGGGTAGTAGTAATTGTACACCCTTAAAAGGATCTGGGGTTTGCATATTTCATCTGCAAATCTCTCAGCTCTGAATTTTGTTTTTTTCAGTCCTGAGAGCTGAGTGAGCAAAAAGAAGATGGGTGGGGGGAATCAAGAGGCAATCAAGCAGTTGCAGTCCCTGATGGAAAATGGTGTGCATCATTTGTTTCAAACTCAGGTTGCATTCTTCTGTTCTTCTGTGATCTCTTCTCATCACTCACAAAGGTTCCTTTTTTTGTGTCTCTTGTTGCAGTGGACGATGAGCAGCTGAAGAACACATTCCAGGTTTGGCTTTTGATTTACTTTGTTGTGCTTGATCTTGGGTGTTGGGAAGATACCTGGAAAAAAAATAATGAATAGAAGTTGGGATTGGTGATCTGCAACCTGATTTGGTAAAGAAAAATCGTTTTTTTAGATTGAGAAAAAAAAAAAGATAAATATTTTTCATGGCCAAAAACTAAATTCTGCTGGCAAATTGATCTAGATCACTGGTAGGTTGCGGTTGTTAAGAATTTTTCTGTGGATAGCTAATGCCTTACTGTAAAGGGTGTTTGAAGGATTGGTCTTTTGACTCTTTTCATGTTTGAGGAGCAGTCTTCAAGAGAATCATATTGATTGTAGTGATTGTGCAACCAATATAAAGGGTCTTTTAATGTTTTCTCACCTTAATATTTTGTTCAATCTCTACATTTCTTAATGCTATTTGCCTATCATGGTTGTGATTTTGTGCTATAACTAGTGAGAGTTGATAATTTTTCCTGAAAGCTTTTTCTTTATCTTTCAGAATATGCACCAGGGTTATCCAACTGAAACGTTAATACGGTTTCTCAAAGCAAGGGATTGGAATGTTGCCAAAGCCCATAAAATGGTTAGTTAGATCTATTATGTTTGGTAGAAAAAAATTATTGGAAATTTCCCCATGTTTATTGCTCTTAGCATTACCCTTCAGTCTTGATCTTTGCTCTTTGGATCTCTGACAATTTAAACTGTTACAGTTAATTGATTGTTTGAAGTGGAGAGTGGAAAATGAGATTGACAAAGTTTTAGTGGTGAGTCCCTTGATTCTGCAATTATTTCCTGAATTTCTGTTTATTTTCATGAGCCTTCTTTGCTAAACTATGTTATTCTGCCACCTCATGTTTCTCAAAGATCTTGCATTTAAGATTTATGGAAATCCAAAATGTCTGACAAAACCCTTATTTTGCATTTACGTTGGGTTTGATCATTTGAAGTTAATTGTAAGATAAATAATGGGGGAGTTACAATATTTAGATGACCAATACAGATAAAGAGCTCAATTTGAAGATATTTATAATGAGAAATTGTCGAAGATATCTGATGCTTTTGGAATATTTTTAAGTGTGTTTGTTTATTTTGTGGGTCATGCTAACTAGTGCTAGAAAAGGATAATAAGTAATGAAAAGTATGGCATCTTATGCATTGGAAGCTTAAAAATATTAACCTTCCATTTAATATTTTGAGTCTATTTGGATATAAGTTAAAAACATTTTTTGAGAACTTTTCTACTGGAAATAAAGCTTTTTAAGTAAATAAAGTCTAAAAATCGCTTCTAAATCTATATCCAAACAAACTCTTTCTATTTTTGAGTCCTTGACAAGTGCCTTAAGAGCAATCAATAGCATTTTCAATTTATTTTGAAGATACGTGTAAACTACATGCATCAATTTATTTTAGCAGAAAGAAAAAGACCAAACTTTCAAAGTCATCACACTCTTCCTTCCTCGAAACTTCAGTCTCTTATATATGTTTGAAAAGTCTGTTATGGATAGAGAAAGAGCCATAAGTTGGTTTTAAGAGCAAATTTGTTTGATCAAGTGTGTACATAATATAGCCTTATTGGTGCTGATTACTGAACATTGTAAACTTCTAAATCCATTTTAAACCGTTTCTATTTTGGATAAATAACTTGAACTGACGACTGCCACCTCAGCTATTTTTTAAATGGATTGATTTTAATCCTATCAATTTAAAAATTATTAATACAAAATGTTTATACTTTGGACAAACCGATGCATGTTGGTGTCAATACTATAGAAACCATATCATTGCCGCCATGAGAGTTTAGGTAAAACCACTCTATGGACGAGATTCACATGGTCTGAAGAATTATTGAACATTCTTATTTATTCTTATGCATGCGTGTTCATCATACTTTTATCATAACGTAAATTTATATTTCTCAAGCAGATGATAATGGTGCTGCATTGTTTCACTTTATCTTTTTTGTATGACAGAAGCCTATCCCTGCAGATTTGTACAGAGCTATACGGGATTCTCAACTCATGGGAATGTCTGGTTACTCAAAGGAGGTAATCAATTCTTAGTTATATCTTATAAGAGCTTTTAATCTCTTATATGAATTTAAGTTTTGTATTCATCCGACTTCATAATTCTTCCTTTCCCTGCCTTGACCCTACATTGATGATGTTATTTTATGGTGTATATTCTTGAACAATCTGAAACACTTCTATAGTTCTATCTATTAGTGATTTCTAATTTCTTTCATTTTTGGCTGAAATTTTCCAGGGTCTACCAGTCGTTGCTGTTGGTGTTGGGCTCAGTACATATGATAAAGCATCTGTAAGAATCATATAACATCTATATTTGTATGACCTATAGGGTTTGTTTGGGTAAACTTCTTCAGAAACGTTTATAGGAGAGAAAATTAGGAAGAAAAAAGCTTAATAATCTTAAAGCTAACTTGTAGAAGCTCTCTTCTATTAGTTTCTTCAATTTTTATTATTTTTTAACTCATGTATAAGCTGGTTTTAGCTTATGAAGAAGTTTATTTCGATTTTTTTTCCTATTTTCTTCTCCCAGAAGTTTTTCTAGAGATGTTTATCCGAACAGACACTTACAATACAATACGTAAACTGTAGCAATTCAATGACAATCGCATACTAGACTAGAGTTCCTTTTATTCTTCCTGGGAACTTTTTATTTTCTTAGAAACTTTTAACACCTATCAAGGTTTCTTCATCAAACATTAATAATTGCACTACTCAACATGAATGCTTCAGTGTTCAATACTTTCTTGGTGTCTGCCTATATTCTTTAATTTAGCATCTAAACTCCTTTGAATTATCAATTTGATATTAAGTTGCCCGTTCTTTTTGTTCAGGACAAATACTATATACAATCACACATCCAAATGAATGAATATAGAGATCGAGTGGTCTTGGTGAGTACCTTAGACTGTTGAATTCAATCTTAGAAATTCTCTGAAGCCCTGCTTGCTAATTTGAAAGTTTTATTTTAGCCAAAAGCTACAAAAAAGCATGGACGATACATCGGCACCTGTTTGAAAGTCTTGGATATGACTGGTTTAAAATTTTCAGCACTGAACCAATTGAGGGTATGCCAGTAATTTGAAATTGTTTGTTTCCCTTTTCCCATTTTCTTCATAGTTGACACAATTTCTGATTAATCACCTTCTGCAGTTGTTGACAGCTATATCTACAATAGATGACTTGAACTACCCAGAAAAGACAGACACATACTATATTGTTAATGCACCATATATATTCTCAGCATGTTGGAAGGTTTGTGTGCATGTCTTAATGTTTGAAGAGTTTGGACTGCTTAATTTTCATCCTTATTTTCTTAAATATCATTCAAGATCCAAAGATTAAGAGCTGATATCTTTCTACTTAAATATAAATTGGAAGGTTGTAAAGCCTCTTTTACAAGAAAGAACAAGGAGGAAAATCCAGGTGCTGCAAGGTTGTGGGAAGGAAGAATTATTGAAGGTAAAGATTAACATCATCTTGAAGTATCTACCGATATGTATGAGTTTGCTTGTTAGTGTTGGTTGTGTTGACTAATTAAAGTAATATTAATGAAAATAAGTGCAACATGTATATATATTGCTTCAGATCTAGGTCTAATTAATCTATCACTCATCATTTTAGTGGTGGTATTACATTGGCCCGGATAAAACCATCATCATGCTTGTGGATTTTATTTACTAGTTTCCAATTCAATGCTGTCAAACTACTATTCTAATGAAGTTATCAGAGCATGTTTGGGAAAACTTTTTTTTCCCAAATTTCAGCTGTTTTTTTTCTTCTTCTAGAAAGTAACTTTTTACAAAATAAGCTGGATGTTTAAGACAACATCTGAAATTTGTAAAAACTTTTTTTTCCTCTGAAAAATAAGTTGTTTTCAAGCATTAGAAAATTTGAAGCTTCAGTTATAAAAACTTTTCTTCTCTTAAAGCTGATGTATTATATAAAGGTGGGTTTTCTTGTTGTATACAAATAAAATTAAATATCTTAAAAGTGCTTTTCAGAAAATTTATTTTGATTATAATTGATTATATATATAATTAATTATTAAAATAATCTAACTTTTACAGCTGTCTCAAATACGCTCTTAGTAGTTTGATAGGATTAGGCTGGTGTCCTACCTTTGCATTACGGAGGATTTGGTGTATCAAATATTTCATATTGCTTCATCCTAATTATAATTAGAGAAATGCTAGCATCACTTTTTCTAATACTCTATTATTGATTGAAAATCACAAATTTTAGTGGGTTCTACTACTAAATAAGGAGTAAAGCTCATTTAATGAGATGTAAGACCCATAAAATTTGCAATTTTCAATAAATTTAAACCAATAATAAAAAGAGTATTAGAAAAAGAGTGTTTGAGAGAGTGAACAAGACTTTTGACGTACTTAAGTTGTTTAAAACTTGTGTAGGTAATGGATTATGCATCCCTCCCACACTTCTGCAGAAAAGAAGATTCCAAGTCATCCAAACACAATGCATCTGGAAACACTGAGAATTGTTTCTCCTTCAATCATGTCTTCCATCAACAACTCTACAATCACATCAAGCAGCAAGCTATCATTATGGAGTCAATCTCACCAATCAGACAAGGGTCCTTCTATGTAGACATACCAGAGCCAGACCCTGATGATGCCAAAATAGCCAAAACCATAGAAACCGAGTTGCACAAATTGGAGAATCATAATGGCTTTAACAACTCATTGAATGGTGTTGCAGTTAATGGCCATTGAAAGCTAAGCTAGTACACTGGTTTTTTGGCCTCTCCTGAGCCACTTTTATTTGTGGTCCCTTTTGGATAAGGAGGGCTATACTTGTTCTTTATGAGGTTACACCCGGTTATTAGATTTAATATTGTAATGTTTGCATCATCTCGATGCAAAATTCTTCAGAGACCTTAATCTAATTTCTATGCCCACCTTGGCATAATGAGCATATGATATTTGTTCAATGTAGAAAAGATGCCATCATGCTACAATTTCCATGACTGTCTCGTTACATTGTTACTTACATTTTTTTTTTTTTTTGTAATTTAGGAAATATCTACTAATTTTATTAATGATTATTTTTTTTTCAATTACATTTATTGATTTATTTTCTTTAAGGGATTCAAATTGGAGACTTAAAAAAATTGAGTTTAATACTACTCAAACTAATTGTTTGTTGGTTTTGATCATTATTTGCACTCTACAGTTTTACACATAGGTATAAGGGGATATCTTCAAAACCATTATATTTTTTTTAGGAACATTATGAATTATTACTGGAAGAGCCGGAGAGTTCAAGGGAATAATCACTGTATGATGTTATAACTAAGAGTTTAATGGGTATGTAGGGTGAAAAATGGTACATTATCACCTAATTAGAAACTAATTAGAAACTAGTCACTGTTTGTATTTTTAGGTATGTATAAAAATAATTTGTAGCATAATGTTGAATATTTTTCCCCCTTATATTAAGTCTTCTGTAACATTTTATATTTCTATTTATAGTCAAAAGTTAAGTTGAAAGGAAAGGTAATTGGTGTGAATTCAATAAAAAAACATAATGATACGAGAAATTTGTAATTATTATATAATTTGAGGCACAATGGTGAAGATGACTTGTATCAATATTCATGCATAATCAAACATCAGAGCTACATGGACACATTTTTCCTAATCATAGATAGCAACCACAATCTCTTGTTACAGGAAGTAACTAAGTGTTTAGACCACATTTGCATAAATATTATGTTTGTTATTATGAATATTTAATAAAAATATGTGTGTAATTTTTTTATTATTATTAAGGAATATTCTCTGTCAAGTATGAGGATAATCTCTTTTAAGACTTTGACAGACAAACACTATATTGGTGAGTATCTGCTCCTATTTTGAATTTTTTTACATTCGTAAGAATTGGACTACTTGGTTAAGCGATATTCACACCAACCCAAGTTGGTATATATGCAGTGACGGATTCAGAAAATTTATTAAGTGAGACAATAAAATATTTTGTATAATTTTTATTAAAAAAATTTAATAATTTTTGAAAAATATATTTTTATGATAAAAAAAATTAAAACACCTTATTTTAATAAATTAAATTATAATTTTTTGTTTTTTTAATGAGAGATTATGTTTAAGTATCACTTTATAATTTTTTGTGACTTATTTAATATCAGAGGAATAAAATGATAAAAATAATAGGATAAAAATAATAAAATTATTAATTTATTTTCTTTAAGTATTTTCTAAATTTCTACACTCATTTAAAACAGGAACATTTTATGAGTGCAATGTCTACTTTTTTTTATAAGAGTAACTATCTTTATTTGAATATGTTTAAGTTAAAAAATTATGTGACAATTACTCTCTTACCAACATAATATACATATACATGACCAAAGGGTTAAAAAATAAAATAAAATTGAAAAAAACCTGTATTAGTAAACTAAATTATGACACATTTAATGAGTAAAGAAGTATCAAGTAATAAATCTTTTAGTAAAAAAAATACAGTATATTATAATAATAAAAAATAAGAAAGGATTGATAGACTTACTCCACAAAATAATTCAAATTCTACATTAAGTATTCATTTGATCAATTAAAAGTCTTTAATGTATAGATCAAATTTATAAAATTTTTACAAAAAATTAAAAATTATTTGATACTCCATTTCATTAATTTAAATTGATGGATAATTATAAAAATATTTTATATGTTATGTTGAATCTATCTAATGAAACACCATATGATTTTCAATTTTTTAAAAAATTTGTAAACTTAATCTATACATTAAAAACTTTTAATTTAACAATTAAATTTTTAAAAATTTGATTTAGAACATTAGTTATTGAATAGAGTAGATCTATCAATACTTATTTTTAGAGTAAGTAAATTTTTCCTCATAAAAAATTAAGATAATTTTATCATAAAATGAAAGTAATTAAATAATAAAAATATTAATATATTTTATTATATTAAATATAATAAGGTAATTAAAATATATTTAATAATATATATCTTATAAAAATAATTAATATTTTATATAAAAAAGAAAATAAAGAAAATTTTAGTGTGGGCAACTACCCCCACTACTATGAACGTAAATCCGTCATTGTATATATGTGTAGTTATTTCTCTAATGATAATTTGCATAAATATTCAAACATTTTAAAATATGAATTTTTTTGAATGTATTTTCAAAATGTCAATAATAAGGGTATTTTTATATATAAAACAAATCTTAAAAATAAATTTTTTAAATTAATATCTTTTGATAAAAAAAAATAAAAATATTTTAGGAATGAATTTTAAAAAAAATTATTATATTTGTATATCTTTTAGAGATACGTCTTTTAAAGTGAATTTTTAAGAATGAAAAAAGTAACTTTTAAGCTATAGAATTTTGAAAAAATTATATAAATATATGATTATCAATAAATTTATGAAATTTGATTTGTTGATATTTCAAGTGATGTGGAGCTACAACTAGGTCATGAACATGATCAGTTCTCAAAGAGCCAAACATTATGAAATGTGTATTTATTTCAAAGTTTTTCATATTTCAATGCACGTTGAACTCAACTCATGAATTTTTAAATTTTAAACTCAACCCACATTTAAAAATTCTAAATGCCAAAACAAACACATGCGAAGTAATTTATAGCCAATGTTGGTGGCAAGTGCAACATAATCATAACATTTGGAGCTGAAGAGAATAATATGATGGCCATGATCTTTGCTGTTTTGACAACAACAAATAACCAGCATGATGTAGACATTTCAAAGGAAAAAGTAGCAAATCCTTTCAAAATTGTTCTCATAAAATCACTAGTGTATCTTGTGAGTGAATCTAAGCCTATAGTAGCAACTTACTTTATTTGAGCATAAGATTAGGATGGATTTTATTATATTTTTCACTAACTTAGCAAGAAAGCTTGGAAAATGGCACGTTTTAATTAATTTCCTCTATCAGATTACTCCCAGTAGGATGGGTAGGCATTTTAGAGCAACTCTAATCAGAATTGCTTCCATTCTTGCTTGTAAGTAAGCAATGTAGCTTACTAGAAATTTTCATTGGAGTTGACTGATGATGTGACATGAAAGTTGGAAAAAAAATTTCTTTTGTTGGTTGTTGAAGCAATGTTTCTTTTTCTGTAAAATTGTTTTGTGAAAATAGTCTATTGGATCAATATTGCTCATGAGAACTTTTATTGGACCAAAAAGTGTAGTATGAGTTGTCAAAAAATATAAGTGTTTATAAACAACTTTTATTAGAGAAAAAATTGTAAAAATGTAATGTGAGTTGCTTTTAAGAGCATTTACAATGGGAGTTGCTTATAAGCAACTCTCATTTACTTTAAATGGGTCTCACTATGTCACATCACTCATAAGTAGCTCATATTATATTTTTACAATTTTTGTTCCAATGGAAGTTATTTATAAGTACCTCCACTTTTTGACAATTGATACTTCATTTTTTGATAAATGTAAAAAAATTTAATTATTATAGATAATATATAAATATGAATAAAAAAAATTAAAAAAATCACACAATTATTATAATGCGTTAAGAAATATTAAATATTAAAAAAAATTACATAATAAAAAGAAATGTGATAATAAAAGGAAATTATATAATAAATATGTACTAAATAAATATCACAGACCCTGTAGCATATACTTTTCCCTTCAAAAGTGTGTATATGGCTTTTGCCCAGACTTAATCTAGAAGAAAGGAGATATTAAATTATTTTTTTATTCTTAAGCAATTGTGTCTTATATAATGAATAGTGCTTAAATTTTAAGCACTTAGACTATTACGTCAGCATACTCTAATGCAGTTTTCTTATAAGCTATGAAAGTTTAAACTTAAGAACCAACTAAGAATCTCACGTTAAAAATGCTCTAAGTGATGTGATACAATGTGATCCATTTAAAATGGATAAAAATTACTTATAAACAATTCCCGTGTTATAGATACTCTTACATGCATTAATAAGTTAATAACCTTTATTTTACCATTTTGTCATGGGTCACCATTCTAAGTAGTATTTCAAATATGATAACCTTTCTTGTTTAAATTTTTAACATGAATTCATTAAGGTGATGTATTCTATTAAATTTAAGATGCAGAAATTTAAGAGGATTACTTGGTTATGGTTTTTACAAATGCTATTCATATTTGCAAATTGCAATGGTAGCTTGTCCACTTTCGAAACATTGAAAGTAAATTGAAAAAATGGAATTAATTGTCGATAGATACGTTTGTACACATTTAGAGCATTGATTGGTGGAGTTGGTAAGGGTAAGGTTCTCAATAAATTGATTCTGAACATTACTGGCAACATAATTGCATAATTTGCATCCCTTTGAGCTGTGTTTGGTACCACTTACAGTTTCCAATTGCAGCATTTATTTGTGCATTAACACGTGCTTAAAATGCTTTTAATGTGACTGGTGTACCACTTCATTTCTGTACGAACAAACGCGTTATTTTGGTTGAACCCAACCCAATCTGCTGAAAAAAGGTTGAGTGAGATTGAACCTTTTTTAATTAACCTGATCATGGATTGGATTACATTGAATTGACTTGTTAACTTAATAAAAAAAATTATAATTATTTTATTTTATTTGTTTAAATTTTTTCAAATTTTATAATTAAATATAATTAAAAAAAATAAAAATTGTAAAACTAATAATAAATTAAAAGATTCAAATATTTGATGAGACATGTACTTAGGGGGGTCTATTAGATTAGGATTTTAAAGGACTTTTTTAGTTAAAAAAAATCTTGGAGATTTTAAAAGACTTTGCAAGATTTTCATGACTTTTAAGATTTTGCAGGATTCTACAAGACTTAAAATCAGGATTTTAATGGATTCTGCAAGATTTTTAAATTAGAATTTTAATGGATTTTGTGAGATCTTGTGGATTTTATAGTATTTTAGTTATATATTATATGATAATTTTTTAACGATATTTATAAATGTAA